CTTATGGAAAGTATAATATTAGTCGCCAATCATATCATTATTAACATCATCACCAAACTCGCACAACTACAGCAACAGCATGGATCCTTGCAAGTCGGACCCCGGAGGGCTCGACCCTGGGAAGGACTTGCCGTTGATGGCAAACACCTGTGATATTATGGTGAAACATTTCATTTTGGATTTGATAGTTGACCTTGATAAGAAAAGTTTTGATGGCATCATTTTGCTGTTCACTGAGCCAAGTAAGAAGAGGAAAGATGAACTAGATGATGTTGCCATGGCAACTGCAGACAATATTGGTGAAAAAATGCAGAGAAATACTTGTGATAATGTTGGCACTAGTGAAAGTATATCTCAGAAGCCTTTTTATTTTGTTTTAGATGCTTGTGATTTAACAATCACAGCCACAGAGGAAATTGTTCTCCATCATCAAACAAAACAATGTTGTGATGGACACAGTGCGACAAAAGATTCTGCAGTATCTAGTGAACAAACTTTTGATCAGAATAGATCACATTTGCTGGAAGATATCCTTAGATACGATGGTTACAATTATAAAGCCAGAAATGAAAGACTTTGGGAGTGCAAGGATCTTCCTGGAAAACCGCTGAATTTTTCAGTAGAACCATGGTGTGTTAGATTGTGGAAGAATGGAATATATAATGTGAGGGATTTTCCACCTGTTGTAAGAATATTCTATCAGACACACTCTAAAGGTACATCGGTCACATGGGCTCATGACCAAGATGATAAGTATGTGCAACATAAAGTTTATCTAGTGTTTTATTCACATATATTAGAAAGTAGTAACTTAGATCAGGGAATTTTAAAGCGAGAGGGCCATCACCTGCACACACGCAGGAATTGAATCCCAACGACAATAACAACGCACACTAAAAACGCTCATTGGTAGACACTTGCTTGTAAACAATGACACGCTATGGCCATCTGACACATGCGCAGGTGACGACCCCCTCGCTTTAAATAATACAACAGTTAGTTCATTATTATTTGCTACTGATTTAATAATCCAATTACTGACTAAAATTATGATTATGACAAAAATTATGATTTTTAAAAAAGGGTCTATGAAAGAATTTTATTACCAAACTCAACCATTTAACATGGTTCTCTTATTATCATGGTGTGGTTTTTATAAGCAAATGGTAAATCAGTGACACCTTGTCAAGCAAATAAACTTGCCAGGGCTATGAATGTTTGGCCTACAAAAACCATTTCCCAATGAAACATGACTGTAAGACATATCTACATCTATTCAAGGTTTGTGTAAAACCCATATTACTATATGGATCACCAATATGGAGTAAAACACCAGTTAAACAATTAAATATTAAATTCCTTAAAAAATGATTAGGGGGAAAATATATTTTATCAAATCTAGCATGCAGATCGGAACTCTACACAAATTATTGGATATTAAAGAAACTCTTGTAAAACATATTGGTTTCAGCTAAAAAAACTTCCAGAAAACTCTCTTAACAGACATTTTATGAACAACATGATAAACAACAACAAGATAAGATAAAATTATACACATGTTTCAATAAATTCGTTGAATGAAACATGATGCGTTTTAGAATAAGTAAACATACATTAGAAATTGGCCCAACCCATAATATCTCTAGAAATGAGGAAATGAGAAATGATTTTGGGCCAGACGGCAGTTCTGAACCTTGAATGTTACATTAAAAAATGTGGTGTTCCACTACAGAACCATTTGGTGTTTGTCTCATTTCTAGAAGTATTTTGGAGTGCTGACACAGAAGCCATATTCATGTTTGAGACTACATAACAAGGCTATGTGTACATCGTTCTATCAAATTTGTATGCACTATCATTGCATCAACCAAGCCCGGTTGAACACAAGCACCTGCAGACCTTAACCAAGGTTCTTCCAATTAGTGGCATACATTCTAAGCATTAAGGGGAGTGGTGTATAGTGAGTGGAACACTGCATACATTCTAAGTATTGGAGAGGAAGGGCAAAAATGGCTAATTCTGCTGCTACGACCTTGTCACCCTGAAAATTAGAACGGTTGTAATTTTGCTTCCAAATGGCACAGGAGTATTACCAGAGCCTCACTGCTTGCATTTTCATAAAGTTGTTTATGTAAAGAAATGTGAATCCTATTATAATTATCTCAAAATACTATCTCTATGGATACTGGTAAGCGATTTTCTCTTTAATTCATGAGTGATTTCAGTGTTTACTAATCATAACCTTATACTTCTCGCTTTGTTTTGAAGTCTGTGTGTGTTTACCCAGGGAGCCTGGATTAACAATCGAGCATTATTCCCATGTCAAGAACCACCAGTTGCCATGTCAACCTGGCAAGCTAATATCAGTACTCCTACAGAATACATAGTGTTGATGAGTGGTGATGAGGAAGCGGTTACTAAGATACTTGATGATGGTTAGAATGAAACAAAATATATAATTGATATGCACATATGACATAACAGACTGCAACTAAATTCTCATAGACCATTTTTGTTCACAATTCCAAAATGTTAATTAAACTAAAATGATTATTAGTTACCTGTGTTGCTATAACTTATCAATAATCTTATAAAATGTGCAATTATTTGTTTGAATTCTCAACTGATGTTGAAAATGCATTATCTGGTCCCACATTGGTCATTGCTGTCCGACATCCTATCTACATAGTAGATTGTCACCTATTAATGTTGTTGAACATAGTCTGTGAAGTTCCATTAAGGTCTTATGTTATGGACATAAATTGCAAACTTGTATTCTTAAAATAAATTAAAATAAATCTCATTCTGGTGCATGTGTTTAACATCAGACGTTACTTTTTGTTTTTTGCAAAAATGTGGTAAAATTGACTGAAAACAATTATTATGGCAAATTTAATCTTTTTTAACCTGATGGAATTCCTTCATATTGGTTTAGTACCAACAATCTGTACTGGACTATTATTAAGGAAATCAATATTGTCCCAGTATAATACTGGCAAAACATTCTGTGATTAATTACTAACACTGGTCTGGTCTAGTATCAGGAGTTCTCTATTACAGGCAATTATAGGTCACCAATGTATTATAGAGGCATTTAAATGTGATGTTATTGGCAAGGATGAGACAATGTGTGGCTTATTTCATTTTTTTTTAAATATATGCCTTTATTAATATTTCACTATAATAATGTTTTTCTGACAATGAAACCATTTCTTCTCTATCCCTAACAAGGTTACACTTCCTATCGTTACCATGTCAACGTTGTCTCTCCATCATCCACACTGACAATCGCCATTGGAAAATGGACTGGAGTGAGTGTTGTAACCGAGCAACAATCTTCCTCTGTTAGCGGAGATCTTAACAGGTTTATGTTACATTTTTTTCCCATTAATAAGCATTTGTACTTTTTTTTATGAAGTCAGTGTTTCTATACTTGCTTTCATGGTGGCAGTTGTTATTGGCAACTGGCACTGCAGAACTAATGTGGATAAGAGTTGACAAAGCAGCATGTGAGGCTATATTCTAGTAGTAGATGAGTCATCACATGTAAGCAATGAACAGATTACAAATGCCTAATTAGTCCCCGTTTGGATGCAGTCCGAGGACTTATGTTTTGACCTCCATGTGTCCGTGTGTGTGTGTGTGCGTGCGTCTGTGCGTGCGTCCGGACCTGTATCTTAGAAATGCCTGGACCAATCACAATCAAACTCACACATACATCATACATGATATTATACATATGCACGTCAATTTGTTTCACGATCTGATTCAAGATGGCCGAATGGCGGCCATTTTTGTGCTAAAAATCATCAAAATCAAGCATTTCTCAGCTGTTTACAGATGGATTTTGTTCAAACTTGGTATATACATTAGACATTATAGAACCTTGATGCACATCATTTTGTTTTACAATCTGATTCAAGATGGCCGAATGGCGGCCATTTTTGTGCTAAAAAATCCT